CTGCGTGGTTCATCAACGTGACAAGATTCTACCATCGGATGGTAGCTAGATGAAGGTGTTTGTAGTCAAGATACTCAGGATGCCATCGATTTCCAACATAGCCTCATAGCGTAGCCTCACAGCGCAGCCTTCATCTCCGTAACAACAGTGACTCATTCGATTAGTATATAAACAGTCCGTTTTCATGTAACGTAGTTCGGGTTCTTGCGTCGTGTCAATTGCCTCATTCTGAATTGCCCTAGCACCGTTGCCTAGTGGGATTCAGTCTTATCGTTTCTGTTTTATCTCTTCAAGTCGTCACATCTAGCTATCAGTTCTCATACTTTCACCTCTGCTCTCTCGCCTTCGTCTCCTTCTTATCTATAAGACCGAACTCAACTGGATAGTCCTCAGCTTTCTGATAAGGCTCGGGAACCCAGGCGGAAGTCTCTTCACTTATAAAGTGACTTGCACTTCTTACGCGCGACAACGGCAGCACCGACGTTGGTAAACGCAGGCTGTCTCTCCGAGGCGGGGCAGTTGAGCATGCTGCTTGGCCGTCGATGATACGCGATGCGGGGCCACACAATTTGGTTCCCAGGCTATGCGAGTATCGCAAGCTAAGGTCGACGAGATGGCGTGGTAGATATTGAAGTGGTCAAGCGAGGATCGGCCGCGCAGCAAAGCGCAGGCTTTCTCCAGTTTGCTCGTGCAGGTAAAGGTACTCTGTCTGTGCAGCCTTACTGTGCGTCTGTGCAGGTCCATGCCGCCTTAGGGCAGGCGTACGAAGGCCTCCAGTGAGCGCCACATGCTGTCACGCTACTGGCCACCCACCACAGCAACGGTATTCCCGCTAGCAGACCCCTCTGTGGCCAGGCAAAAATATATCCTCACATAGCAGAAAGCATTTATGGTAGGGAAACATCAATTGAAATGAATTTACTACAGGCAACATCGCATATTCGTATGGTGATGAGGTGTGTGCACCTGGCGAGTGCTTAACATGATGACGGAAAGCATGGGGCCAATGGATCAGTATGCATCGGTACCAAGAAAGAAGATCAAACCTCGTCCGCTTTGGAAGAGGGCCACAAAGGTGGCACCAGCAAGCTCACTCGCAGAGCAAGATGGCAAACAGTTGAGCCAGGCTGGACAGGAGGACGCGATCGTGCATGGACAGGGCAGCATGGTCACGCATGGACAGGACAGCGTGGTTGCGCATGGACAGGACAGTGTGGTTGCACACAGACAGGACAGCGTGGTCACGCATGGACACGACAGTGTGGTTGTGCACAGACAGGAGGATGCACATGGGTAGGAGGACGCCGCTGCGCACAAACAGGAGGACACAGTTGCGCTCGGACAGGGCAGCGTGGTTGTGTACAAACAGGAGGACACACGCGGACAGGAGGACACGGTCGTGCGAGGACAGGATGGCGTGGTCACGTGGGAGCTGCAGCGTGAAACAAGAATAAGAGGAGTGCATGCCGATGCACACTCAGAGAACACGGAGCAGAAACGCAAAGGAGCGGGGCAGCAAAACGTGGGCAATGCTTACCAACGAGACGAAAAGACCGGCCGACTTATAAAAGTCCCACTAGACCCAGCACCGGAAGGCCTGCAGAGGAGCAAGCGATTCAGGTCGTTATGATGTACTGGCCAGCGGTATGATAGCTATGGTCTTGCTCAGTACAAGGTGTAGGCGGCTGAGCAAGCTCTTCGTCTGTAATGTCTCCATCAAAATGCCATTTTTCCTTAGCAGCTGTCCAGTGGGATGCGAGTCTATGGGCTTCGAGATCAGGTCATTAGCAGCGGGGGCCAAGAGCAGAGGCAACATATGCTCCTTCCCTTGGCCTCCTGGTCACGCGGTGTCGCGGTGCATCCGAGTCGCAAACTCACGATATCCACCTGTTATCAGAGCCTTGGCAAATCTGGGCTTAGATCTGCTTGTACTCAGTCAGCGTGTGTGATGCAGCATAGAACATGGAGTCCCCAAAAGTGTTGCAAAGCATACACTGAGAGACAGCCTGTTTCTGCATGGCCAACGCACGGCCAACTTCAACACCTTCAACCTTTGACCACTCCTGCCTGCCATGGCTACCTCCCACCGCTCATCGTACGCTGTCCTGCCCCTAAAGTGATTAGGTGTGAGACGCGTAGAATGCATGCGGGAAACAGGAATGTAGTCTATAGATAGCTACTCATAATTACTATAGAGCACAACTTGCGTGACTACAATAATAGTAGCCGATCCTTAGTTATGCTAGTTTCTTTCCCAGTCCTCAGAAATGACTCATATTAGTATTTAAATATTTTTGGTAGTATAATAGTTTTGTTTATGTACACATTTGACTGCTTACTACACTATCATGATTACATAGCATGGATCAGACGGTCAGAGTAGTCTAGATACACCTCAGAAAAGGGGGAATATGTGGGCACTCAGACATGTTGCTGTGGTATCACAGGGCTGTGTTGCAAGGCTGTGCTGATTAGTAAGCTTACTGCGAATATTAGTAAGCATGCTGCGGCGCAGCAGGCACTTAGTAAGCCTGTGATCTGATTGGATGGAGTGGTATTGGCCAAATTAGCATCAAAGGAGGGCATATGAGCCCTTCGAAGTAATCAATTCACTTTCACCCAGAATCAAAGATCGATCACAGGAGACTGTAGATCAGTCTCTATTAGTATTAAGCAGCAAGAGCAAGATTAAGAAGACATTTGAGTGTTGACTTAGGCAATAGATCTAAGTATC